TCATGTCAATGTGTTCCGCTAGTTCAATCTTCACTTTGTAAAGCTCCGGTTCACACTTAGTTGCTCTTCTACTCATGTGAATGTGTTCCACTAGTCCAAATTTTCACCTTGTCAAGTTCGAGAATGTGTTGATGTTCCGGTTCACACTTAGTTGCTCTTTTACTCATGTGAATCGTTTCTAGTAGTTCAAATCTTCACTTTGTAAAGTTCAAGCATGTGTTGATGTTTCAGTTCACACTTAGTCGCTCTTCGACTCACGTGAATGTGTTCCACTACTTCAAATCTTCACTTTGTCAAGTTCAAGCATGTGTTGATGTTCCGGTTCATACTTAGTTGCTCTTCTACTCATGTGAACGTGTTCTACTAGTTCAATTTTCACTTTGTAAAGTTCAAGCATGTATTGATTTTCCGGTTCACACTTAGTTGCTCTTCTACTCATGTGAACGTGTTCCACTAGTTCAATCTTCACGTTGTCAAGTTCAAGCATGTGTGATGTTCCAGTTCATACTTGGTTGCTCTTCTACTCATGTGAATGTGTTCCACTAGTTCAATCTTCACTTTGTAAAGTTCAAGCATGTGTTGACGTTCCAGTTCACACTTAGTTGCTCTTCTACTCATGTGAATGTGTTCCACTAGTTCAAATCTTCACTTTGTCAAGTTCAAGCATGTGTTGATGTTCCGGTTCACACCACTTAGTTGCTCTTCTACTCATGTGAATATGATCCACTAGTCCAATCTTCATTTTGTCAAAGTTCAAGTATGTGTTGATGTTCCAATTCACACTTGGTTACTCTTTCGTCCATGTGCATGTGCATTCATTAGTTCAAGCTTCACTTTGTCAAGTTCATGAGTATGGTAGTGTTCCGATTCACGCTTAGTGGATCTTTCACTGTGGGACGGGCGACCGACATTTGGCTGCTACCACTAAGGGATGGGTGACCAGCATCATAGTCTTACCCCATCAGTAATGGTGGAAGGTCGAGGTTCCAAGGGTTCGGTTGTTCGCCGATGATAGTGGTGATGATTTTGTTATTATCATAACAGCAGGATCCAGAGCAGATGCTGTCGAGATCAAAAGGTTGGTGACTCAATTCTTATCTGAAGAGCTTAAACTGGAGCTTAATCAGC